TGAGCATGTACAGTGTGAGTGTCATCACTCTACACTGTCTCTGTTTGGAGAAAAATGACGTGTTGCAACCGTCCCTTGTTGCTGCTGTCCCCGGTCTCCTCTAATCTTGCACACTTTGAAAACCTCTGTCTCAAAGGATTGTCTTTAGAGCCATCACGATAATTAGCTTGTCCTTTAGATTGTTGGAGGAAAAAAATCAGGCCAAAAATAAGCTTAATTATCTTGCTGTGTGAACCAGGCATCAGTTTAACAAAAAAAATCCATATTTTCATGATATAACAGGGCTGGGTTGGGGTGTGGGTACAGTATGTGTCTGCAGTACAGCAGGTACAGTCCAGAAGAGGAGGAGAAGGCAAATTTTACATTTCCTGACGCAGAGACCTATTACAATCTTGGAACCAAGTTTTTGAAAAAGAAATTGTGACATTTTATTTATACATCTGTTGACACATGCACGCAACATTCTCTCTCTCCATTGTCGTGCTAAATCTAGTTTCAAAAACAGTGACCACCTGCAATTTCAGGTTTAATAAATTACATGGAGGGTGCTAAATGATTACATTTGCATATCATCCCCTCAGTGTTTTGCACGTTCTGATAATCATCGTATAATCTGCATATTCATGAAAACCAACACATTAAAGAAATTGCACCTGCTATTTTGCTCATGGTAGATCTGCTTTGCACACTTTATTAAGTTTCCCTGTCATTTTTATACATGCAAACCTTTAATAGATCAGGCCCGAAAAGCAAGGCTGTAATGAAAATGCAGCAGGTTTTGGTTCTTACAGAAGGTCCAGGAAGACCAGGCAGGCCTCTCTGTCCTGGAAGACCAATCTCTCCCTTCTCCCCTTTGCTGCCCTAGGAAGTAGAAAAAAAAAAGAAGAATAAAATTGCTTTAATTGCAGAGACATCAAGTGTAGGCATTAAGTGAATGGGGTCAGGTACTCTCAGTGTTTTGTAGAACAGCAAGACTTCTAGATGGCTATGCACCCTGGATACGTGGGAAGGAACAGGATGGATGGGTTAGGATATTAATGATGACAGCAATGAGGATGGGTAAAGTTCTTGATTCGAACTTGTGAATTAGTACGGTATGAATAAATTGAAATATTGAATGATTTAGATTGTGTTGAATGAGTTTGATGAATAGGGATGAAGATGAGCAGGAATACAAAAGGGATGAGGTAGGATGAATGGATATTAGATGAGGGTGAGGAAATGTGGATTCAAGAATGTGACTCTGTGTTGAAAACATTCTGGGTAAAACCTCGTCTAAATGGGAACTTTTTTCCTTTTATTGTTTACTTGTAAACACAGCACTGTATACTGTTTTCTAGAAATAATTTTATTCACATGTGCAGTAAATGCAGAAAACAACCCAAAATGCTRTAGTAACTACCAGGCTTATATGCAGTGCTGTACACTGCCACAAAAACACACCACATACGGCAAACAAGGCACTGAGCATGTGTGTAAAGCTTACACAACTCTGACTCACTGACTGACAACTCTTCTTGTTGTGCAGCGTTTTCTGCCACACTTTTTCCTTCCCACAGACTTCCCACTGAGGTGCCTTGATACAGGACTCTGTGGGAAGGAAAAAGTGTGGCAGAAAACGCTGCACAACAAGAAGAGTTGTCAGTCAGTGATGGTCTGGTGCCATGTCAGCTGCTGGTGTTGGTCCACTGTGTTTTATCAAGGCCAGGGTCAATGCAGCTATCAGGAGATTTTGGAGCACTTCATGCTTCCATCTGCTGAAAAGCTTTATGGAGATGAAGATTTCATATTTCAGCACGACCTGGCACCTGCTCACAGTGCCAAAACCACTGGTAAATGGTTTACTGACCATGGTATTACTGGGCTCAATTGGCCTGCCAACTCATCTGACCTGAACCCCAGAGAGAATCTGTGGGATATTATGAAGAGGAAGTTGAGAGACGAAAGTCCCAACACTCTGGATGAGCTTAAGGCCGCTATCGAAG